GGGGGCCGCACTGCACATTCTGTTTTAGAATTGCCGATCTGCAACTTTAGCAAAAATAGTGCACAAGGTATAATGCTACGACAATGCAAACTTTTAGTGTGGAACGAAAGTACAATGTCGCATAAAAAAGCTGTAGCAGCACTAAATCTAACGCTCCAGAATTTGCGCAGCAATACCGATATAATGGGAGGAATGGTGGTTTTACTGGCTGGTGACTTTCGCCAAACTTTACCTGTCATTGAAAAGGGCACACCTGCAGATGAAATTAAAGCATGCCTTAAGTCGTCTATTTTATGGAACAAGGTGACAAAATTCAGTTTAACTACGAATATGAGAGTGCATTTGTATAATGATATCAATGCTGGAAACTATACTGACACACTATTAAAAATTGGCGATGGGCGGTTGGAAACGGATACTGAGGGCTGCGTTAAATTGACGAGAGATTTTTGTAATTTAGTACGGAGTCATTCCGAATTAATTGCGAGCGTTTATTCAGATTTAACGAACATGCATGAAGACAAATGGTTATGTGAAAGGGCGATTCTTGCACCAAAAAATTAGAGCGTTAAGAAAATAAATTCAGATATATTAAGCGAAGTAGCAGGAGAAATAACAGAGTATTTGTCAGTAGACACAGTTATGGACACAGAACAGAGCACTTCATATCCCGTAGAGTTTCTAAATTCTCTAGAGTTTTCAGGTGTGCCCTCACATAAGCTTCAATTAAAATTAGGCGTCCCAGTTATGCTAATACGAAATTTAGATGCTCCTCGGTTATGTAACGGGACAAGGCTGCGTGTGACACATCTTGGATGGAACATAATCTGTGCTACAATTTTGACAGGCGTAGGAAAAGGTGAAAATGTTATTATACCACGGATCCCTAGAATTCCCACAGATCTTCCTTTTCAATTCAAAAGGTTGCAGTTCCCTATTAAGCTTAGTTTTGCAATTACAATTAATAAAGCGCAAGGGAAAACGTTACAGGTAGCGGGGGTCAACTTAGAAAAACCGTGCTTCTCTCATGGTCAGCTGTCAGCGGTCAGTGTGTCATATGCCCAGAATCTCCACATTCTTTCCCCGAATGGAAAACATATAACATTGTGTACATTAGCGTCTTAAAATAGTGTTCATTTAGTTTTTTTCCAAAATTCCCACAATCTATTAATCAGAATTCCCACAGATCTTCCCTTTCAATTCAAAATTTCCTATTTAGCTCAGTTTCTTTTCAATTCCAAATGCTGCACCTCTGACGGACCTATTAAGCTCAGTTTCCTTTCAACTCAAAAAGCTGCATCTCTGACGGATCTTTTTTCTGGTTCAGTTTCCTTTCAATTCAGAAAACTGCATCTCTGACGAATCATTTTACGCTCAGTTTCTTTTCAAAAGTCTGCATCCCTGACGGATAATTATGCTCAGTTTCCTTTAAAAAAATTTCCCATTTCCTTTGAAATAAACAGGCTATTTTCATGCTTTCCTATACGCTGCGTTTCAAACATTTAAATAGGCTGACGAATCAATTTTGCTCAGTTTCCTGTCAGCTGCATCTCTGACAAATCTATAAAACTCAGTTTTCTTTCAATTCAAAAAGCAGTGGATAGTTCATTTCCCAGTGACCATGCGGGCGAAGCCTCGGGTAACAGCTAGTATTCATATAATCAAGAAACGTCATGTCCACTGATGAATATATGCCTCAACATAGATTGCCTCATAGGGGAATTATATTGCATTTATTGCTACGTTTGGCTAGCGGGTTAGAAAATGCAGTGAATAATTTTCATGTCATGTTTCATTTAACTCTTTTGCGTATTACGCACGAGGAAATCGTAAAATATTTATTATTTGATATTATTGGGTTTGATCCTTAAAATTATACCTTTTTATATAAACTAAAGTGACAAACAAACTTAAAGCATACCTGGCGGTAAGCGGTTACCGTAGTCTAGGGATACCTGCAGCCAATTTCGAATAAAGATTCTTTATCAAAAATTGCATCCATGAAATAACTAAAAATGTACATATTATGTCATTTTGCACTTTCTCTAAATAATTTTCCGTGTTATGATGAGAATAGACGATGAAACTGTTAATAATAGTAATAATTTTTATTTCAGATAATGAAATAAATAAGTCTGTTCATGTGTTGTTGTATTTATCCCACGAATAGATAGCTTAACGTCTTAATTATTAACATTTGATAACTTACTGATAGTAGTTCCTAGAAATAAACTATATCGACTTTTCCCTTTTGTATTTATAATACATTTAGATCTGACTAGTAGTTTTTGAAATAAAATTACTAGATACTTATTAATAAAAATAAGTACAATTTAGTGTGGACTTTCATTCAAGATAATATTATAATCATGAATAAAAATTCGTTGGAAACAAAATATGTTTCTTTACCAACTTACTACGCTTGAAGATTATTCCTTTCGAAGTATAAATTGAAAAAAACAAATGTGAAAACATCAATCACCAATCTCACATGCACATATGTATGTATTCTTTTCTTTTAATTAATAAACGCATCTATGGCGAGCGACAAATGTGACTTTTATTAGTGATGAAGACCGACATTTCCAATGTGACAATATTTAGGTTTTACACTTACTTATCCGTTTTACCAATTGCCTTGGGCAAAAATCATTTAATTATACATGCATGGAATCACGCTCATTTTTAAAAACGCTTGTATCGGGCAGTGGATTAGAAAGGCTATTCAAGTAAAAGATGAAAAACTTTGTATCAACTTTAGAGTGAAGAAAAGACTTTCTTTTGTAATTTTAGTTCAAGTTAATTTGTGTTTGCAAGAAAGGCTAATTAATTTATTAGTAAATTATTTTTGGAATCGGGAATACAACAAATAGAACGTTTGTTTGATAAGGCTTAAAAATAAAAGGACAGATTTTTTTTTAAATCGCACATATTATATTTAGTGTTTCGTGCGAAAATTAGCAAAACGGAACACTCGGTTTCTGCCTGTCTGACTGTCACAGTTATTATTCCCCAGGGATTATTTTCCATTAATGAAAATTAGGTATTCTTACGAATAAAATATCAGAAAACTGGAAGCACAGTAACCCATTACTTTGCAATTTTTTATTTTTTATTTCATAGAATAAGGATGACAAACGTGCACAGTCCACCTGACGGTAAGTAGATGCTGTGGCCCATAGACAACGACAACTATCCTCGATTAAGAATCAAAATTCAAATGCGTTGCCTGAGGACTGAGATGGAATGCCTCGTTTTCAGTAAAAATGGTCTCCGGTTCTCTACACTCAACATACAAAACACAGCAGCATTGAGCTGCTATTTTACGCTGATATTCTGTGAGAGCATCTTTCCCTGGTCGAGCCAACCTATTCGTACTACAACTATGATATAGCTGCAGCGTGGCTCTACCACGTGTACGTACGTAACACTGACAAGCAGAAGTCTTTTAAAAACATGTCTGTGTGGATCCGATGAATAAATACATTATTACCTCACAAGTCCACAGTTATACCACAGTCCTCTTCCAATGAATACCGCAAAATACGGTCCTGAGCCACCTGCATTTCACACCAAGTTGTTACTCCTACTCCTACTATGAGTTGGTTGCCGGACACATCAACTATCGGTTATTCGAGCTTTATGGCCGGCTCGTTGCCCTCTTCAGCTTATTGATCCGTTAAGCAATGTTGGTTATTTACTTTTGTTACGGATATTATCGTTAGAGATTCCTTCACGCAGACAAACTAATGAGTTAAATTCAGAGTGCACACAGTTCACATGGTAAGTGGTGGTCTGTGGCCTATAAAAGTAAAGTAACAGCCTATATACGTCCCACTGCTGGGCACAGGACTCTTCTCATTTCTGAGAGGATTTTAGGGCAAGGAAATAACAGCCGCGATGCACATGCGTGATGGCGAAATACACATGTCTTCGAAATATTTTTTTACCTCCGAGCACGTAGTAAATCAGCACTTTCATTGGCGCCGGCGGGGATCGAACCCGGGTTGCTCGCGTATTGTGAAAACTATAAACCTTTCGTTAGAGCGTAGTATATTCCGTGATGCAGTTCTGCCTCGGATGACTAAGGTGAAATGTCTCGAATTAATACTACGTCTTGCGATAATAAGCCCAATGACTCCTTAAATGGATTTGCCCACTGCTCCAGGCAGGGCTGGCTAGGTGATGAGCAAAGTGCACCGTTTCCTTCACATTGGTGATGCTGCTCTATCACCGGTCATCATAAACAATTTGTTTAATTGGGATTTCAAATAAGGCTTCCGTTCACGGTCGCTAGCTCGCTAGAGTATCGTTTATTCATTGTAAGGATACACATGAAGTTAGGAATAGTTGTTATAGGGAGAATCTCCCTTTTCTCGCACCTTATGAGCCATAAGTTATAACTTATCCAAATCATACACAATCTGCTGAACTGAATTTATTAGTTGGATGCTAAAATTCAATCGGATAGAAAAGAAAAAAAGATCCTTCGTCTTCATATATGAGATAAAGAAAGTTGAAGATCTGTTCAGGCTAGCCCTGAACAAAGAAGAATTTAGAAGGATGACTGCCGACCTTCAGTAATGGAGAGGCACTTAAAGAAGAAATTCATACTAGTTTCCCTTTTTATGTGTTAGTACACAAAATACTTTAATTGGACTAAACTTGTTTAAACTAAAGGATTTTCCTTACAGTGAACTGTGACCTGATCTATAGTCTGCAATACTAATGACATGCGCAGAAAACTTATCAGTATAGCTCTGCGTGACCTGTTTATCATTAACGAGCAAGGCACTGCTCAGAGAGCCCGTCTTGTCGCCTTTTCTAATATCCCGCCTTCTTAAAAATAATTAATTTATTGGATGTAAGCACATGCGTTAGCACAGATATAATAAAAAGGTTTTTTTTTTAAATAAGAACTATGACAGTGATAATAATTGTTCAGGTTAATTGTGGACTCATAAATAGTTTTTAAGTTCAAGGAAGTTTTTATTACAATCATGAAGTTTTTGGCGGTTTTCATAAGTGTGCTGTATTTTGTGTCAAGGAATTTGGTTGTCGGTGAGTAATAATTTAGTAATAATGCCGATTTGTGTTACATTTGAACAAATATGAACATCTGTGTTGCGAAGGCCGGGCGGTTAATAAAGTGTCAGCATCTTCGTAAAATATATTAATTATTACCCTTATCTTATGTAAATTGGTACAATTTTGATGATTACACTTTCAATAGAATTAGAATACAGATAGGAATTTGACAATAACATTTTCAATAAACTTTTAGGTATTTAATATAAAACTAATGTACTGGTTAGCTACACTGATCGTTGATTTACTACTATTTTTGATCAATACTAATAATGTATCAATATCATGTTTTTAAGTATTGAGATATCTATTAAACTAAAGCTAAACTACGATGATTCAGTTCTTGTTATTATTTTTGCTATTCCTTATTTAAATTATCGTTATTTTAGTATCATAATATGATGATTTTTTTTAAATGGTTTACATGTTTTATGAACGAACATTTTTCTTGCCTTTGCAATATGTACATGCATACATAGTTATAGTAGGTTTTAAGGCTAGTAAGGTTATTTCAATTATTTTCATTACTTTTATATTCATTAAAAATGTATATTGATCAAAATATACATTGTAATATTACAAAAAAACGAAGAACAACATACATAAAGTAGCATTTTTAGTAGCTATATGTTGTAGAGCCATTCTGCAGCTATGTTATGGTTGTAGCACGAATGGGTAGACTCGACCGGGGAAGGACCACGCTTTCACATAATACCACCCTAAAATAGCAGCTTAATACTGCTGTGTTTCGTATGGTGAGTATAAAGATCCGGAGACCCTTTTTTACTGAAAACGAGACATTCCATCTTAGTCGTCAGAGGTGTCAATGCATCTGCGTTTTGATTCTTAATCGAAGATAAATGTAGATGACTATGGGCCACAGCATCCACTTACCACACATTCTATACAAAAATAATACATATATCATTAAATACATACCTAGTAATCCCCAAGTGGGTAGGCAGAGCCCAAAGAGTAGCGAGATACTTGAACCAGGTTTAGTCATTAAATATGGGTTTAGATGGAAAATTATGACAGAAGTTAGAATGTAAGATATTCAATTTTAGTACTCAGAGGTGGCAACGCATTGAAATTTGAAGTGCGTTGTAGGTGATTGCATTAACCATTCACGATCAGGTGGACTGTGATATCGTTCATTACTTTAATTTAATAAAAAAGTGATAGGTAGGCTAGCCCATCGCCTAAGCACCGTGGCGCATTGACTTAGCAATGAGTTATAGCACTAAGGGCCGCGGGTTCGAATCCCGCATGGAACAAGTATTTGTATGGCCTACAAGTAATTATTCCGGGTCTGGATGTTTGTCTTTGTGAAATTTATATTTGTAAACTGCCCCCACGATACAGGAGGAAATCCTAGTGTGGAGGTAACGTTTTAAAAAAGAACATAAAGAAAGAATAATAAAAGAATAAAGCAATCACAAACTAAATATCCCTTTACAACTTTGGACTCTAACGACATACGAGGCAAGTGAAATAGTTGGCAAGTCTTTTTTTAATACAATTTCCAAATAAACAGACCAACCTGAAAATTTTGTGATAAGAGATATGTAGTCATTTAGTAGATTACTATTTTTAAATTAATTATTCCCATATCTTGTGTAGCACTCATTCAGCTTATGCCGTCTAAAATAGTTGATTGAAATTATGCATGCATGTTGCTAGCGGATTTGGGCTTGTTAGCATTTGTAATCCCGTTGGCAAATAGGCCTTTATAATTCAAGGTAATTTTAGAAACCATAAACGAGAAAACACGTTAAATTAAGTTTTAGTATAATAAGGTAATGTGAATTTTCATTTTATTATATAACTAGCTATTCGTCGTGGAAACAGCGCCACCTACCGATTTAAATTGTAAACCTAAACAATCCAGGGTCTCACTCAAACACACATAAAATTTTCATTAAAATTGGTCAAGCCGTTTTCGAGTTTTAGCGATTTTTATAATATGGAAGATTGAATAGAATATAATCATTTTTATTCAATACTATAGTATGTGCCAAATCGATTGAGAAAAACGAACAATGACCTTTCGGTCGTTTAACTAGGGGTTACAAACCTTCAATATATAGGCACATTTTATATGTAGTACTTTCATTATTTATAATGATTTTTTTATTTATTTTTTATAATGATTGATATAGTATATATTTATTAACTATTATTAAAAATTATGTAAAAGATCGCTATACTATAGCTGTGTCTGCGACTTCATTTGCATAGAATAAGTTTTCTATACTTCCTTATTTAAATCGGATTTTGTTAATAATTTTATGTTCACAATTTCAAATTTTGTGCGGAGTGAAAACAAAAAAGTAATGAAATAAAAACGGCATAAGTGCCCCATTAAAATTAAAAAAGTAGCAGCCTTCATACATGTTACTACTGAGTACCGGCCGCATAGATTTTGGTCAAAAAAGTGTTAGCTACGCTGATTCCAACGCGGGATGTCCCCAACTGGGGTAAATCGAAAATATATAATAATGCTAACGTACTTTACAAAATTTCAGTTTGAATCAGTTTGATTATCGCTTTTGACAAGTAAAATAAAATAAACCTTTGTCTAAATAAAATCTGCTTTCTTTGATAAATAAAGTATTTTTCCGCAAGAGCCTGTTCATTTACATAATATACTCATGTGAGCTATGAAACTAGGACTTTCCCTACGAAGTTATTCTTGACCTCTTTAACCACAGAAATCGTAATAATATTGTCTTATTATTACGATTTTTGTGACTTTAACGATAACGTCGTAAGCTAGCACGCAAAATTTTCTTTAACAGATTCATTTCTCCTGTAGGGAATCGTACACGATTTGCTCCCGTATCATGATGAAATCTCACGGCGAGCTACACGGCTCTCGTATTTGTTTAAATGCAATTCATAAAAACTGAAACTAAGCTTTTCCATGATTGTTGAGCACATCTACCTAGTGGTTAGATCAAATAGAGACGAAAATTTCACAGTGCACTTAGCACTTCACATTTTCAATTATTTACTTCATATATTCATTATCAGTGACTTATCATTAGTTCATTTAGAAGTAAGTAGATGACGTCATTATTAGATGAAGTAATGAAAGCCAAAACAATGCTATCTGATAATATCAGCGATAGAAGCGAACATTTATTATATCAGTAAGGCACAAAGTGATGTCAATTCTATTAAAAGTTCTGTTTTTGTTAAAAAAAAACGCTATTAGCGCCGCTAGCGTTGAATAGCGATTGGACGATATGACCATAATTATCATGAAATAGCAATGTTTATTATAGTCAACCAAATCTAAGAAATATATTTTGACAGCTGTCAGACTTATTGCACCAGGGATGCCAATCAAAAATTGGGAAGGTACAATATTCAATTCTTAAAAAAATTGGTATCGATTATTTAGGTTGCTAATTATTTACACAGTTTGGTTTGAATAATACCAGAATAAATTAAAAATGGATAATTTAAAACACAAGATTTATCAGTTTATACGTATTTGTTGTTACTGCTTATTTCTAGAGGCACAGTTATAAAAATTTAAGATTAAAACTAGATTAAAAATAAATTTATTCAATCACTTTCAGTACAACTAGTTGAGCTGCCTTTGTTTAGATTAATTATTATTTGTTTTTCAATAATGCAGTCAAAATTAATGTTTCAAAGTCATCCATAATAATTTTTTTTTGTGTTTTTTCTACCACTTTTGCCCAATGATCCTTTATGACATGGGAATGTGCTTAAACGAATATAGAAGAAACAGTCCAAATAGAGCAGTCACAAAATAAGAAGGCAAACACAAAATCACAAAATTACACACAGTAAGCTCCCGAAATGGCGGATATTGAAATTACGTAATGATTTTTTTCAGCGCAGCCTTGAATATGAGTTTTTTGCCTACACAAATTTACGTTGACAAATTAAAAAAAATAAACTTATTTTCTATCATAACTTAAAAAAATAAATTAAACAAATAATAAAATAACATAATTAATGATGCGATTATTTGAATATTTTTACCGATTACTTGAATCTTTTTGTCGATTATTCGCATAACAATGAATTTTAATCATTCAAGCACTACGGTAATGTACATAGCGACGTATCGTTGAAACGACGTCAAGTAAAAAAAAGTTGATACTGGTTATTTTTTAATATCTTGCTTTGTTTGAAAGATTCAAATTTAAATTAGTGATAAAAAACTATACACTTTGTAAGGAAATGTAGATAACTTTATAATTCTTCGGATTTACGTAAAAGGTTATTTTAAATCGTGTGAGTACGCTTGTGCAAAGTAATTGCTGAATGATTAATGCGAAACGTCAAAAGGTATTTCTTAGATTTGGTTGACTATAATATCGTCAAACGATCTCTATTCATTGATTTGGTCAAGCTACATCATGACATGGTCAACGAATAGTGTTAAATATCATGAAATGACACCATTTCACGAAATGTTAGATTACTACGATCTGGCCACGACATAATATATGAAAATCTCTTTGATAAATAAAACTATAAGAATGAAAATTTTGGAATAATTGCAGGTAGACAGTGCATTGCAGTTTTAATCAATTTATATATAAATTAGTAATTGAAATAAAAACCATATCAATTTTCATATTTTTCATAGCCGTCACAATTATTTATTTAAATCCTTACAATTTTAAAATAAAATAACGAAAAAAAACTAACTAAATTTTAAAAATCAAATTATTTAAATAAATTATAAATGTAAGTTCTTTATGTTATTTAATTTATTAGTAAACTGAAGGTAAAATATATATTACTTTTTCATATGATGATAGACGGTTTGATAACTAAAACATAGATCGTCGACGTATTTTACCAAGGTTAAAACTATATTTTAAGTTTTAAAAACTTTATTTATAAATATGGTATTTATTTAAACAAAACACCCGTTATCCCGCCCATAACTAACATAACCATCTATAATAGAAAATTAACAT